AACTATTTCCAATCAGATTCTTATCAGTTATCATGTTTCTTATCAAACAATATAAGTGAATGTTTTCATAAATCAATCATAGAAAATAGGCATTTGTTTTCATACAAAACATATCAAACTCATATAACACAATACTTATGCAATTAATTTCCATTAATTCTACTTATGCACAGCGATCATCTCGACCGGGGAACAAATCCTGGTCTCTAACTTAATATCTTAAAAATTCCCTATATGAATTTATTAAGAGATATTACTAAGAAAATGATAAACTATTCCGGCCTGGGAGTCGAACCCAAGACCTTCATATCATTAATTCGATATTTCTTTAAGATTCAACTAAGCATTTTCTTATCGGAATATTGTTACTTGATAATTTACATTTTAGAAGCTATTCGTAATCGGTTAACTAATAAATTGAAATATTCTTATAGGCGCGTCGCCAACAAGTAGTTTGAAAACGTACGAAAAGTTTCGTATAGTGGATTTTAGATTAGTGCATGACTCTAAAAATATCCTCTTACTCTTACTCTTCCTCCACCTCCTTATTTCGATGTGCCGAGGTTTGTAAGTAAACCTGTATAACCTTCAGCAAATACCGCTTGGTGATTCTGAGTAAAAGGTACGCATCCCTCGTCTACACACTTGTGGACGATAAATCCGACACCTTTTGGAATGGTCGTGGTTGCCCTCCCGTGATAGAATCAGTTACTTAATTCGAAGATTACGGTACCCTCCCCCTCTTTTCGAACCGCAGATAAACCCTTCATTTCATCACGACATTATATATGTATATATAATTAATATTTACATAATTCAGATACCCCTTTATCAAGCCAGTGCCCAGTAAGCTTTATCACTTCATTTCATTTCGTGGTTGTCGTAAGAAGAGAATGTGGGGGGTGCCAGGAAGATTATATGATTTCCGATAGATGGCACATGAGAAGTGAGATTGACAGAAGCAGTAATGTAATCGCCAGTAAGCCTAACGTGATAACTAAAGAAATTCCTCCCTGCAATGGGGGTGGCTTATATATATATATATATATATATATATATATATATATATATATATATATATATATATATATATTTATATATATATATATATATCGCACCTTCAGTGCAACAAAGTCACAACAGCTCACTTTGTAATTTTACAGGACAAAGCTTTTAAGATTTTTTCGCAATTATTTCCTTATTACTGGATTACTGTCTGTGGTACGATTTAAATATTTATAACATCAATTGTTTATTATATTTGCTATAGTTTCATCATGACATAAACACTCACGCCTGTTACCCAGAGGGGTAGGCAGAGACTACGGACTTCTGTTTGGCACGATCCTGACATACCTCTTTCGCCTTTTGAAGTGTTTTGAAGTAGCACCTCCGATGCCTTTGACTACGGGACATGAAGGTATCTTATTTATAAGCAATCCTAAACGCTGGTAATATTGGCGCGTTATAAGGCTACTCTGTGATCTGCTGTCTAGCAACGTACGGACACTTTGTTCGTTTCCACGCGAATCCCTAACTACGATATGGGCTGTACCCAGTAACACGGTGGAAGGAGACTGCGTTCCCGCATTCGACAGTAAGCACAGGGCGACGTCACCCGGTCGACCGCTAGAATCGTCAACTTTAGTATGTGTAGTTTCCTTGTCCGATTTACTCGACGCGAATACGTTGCCACCTTCGAAATGTAATAACGTGTGATGTCTGCTGGCACACTTGTTACACACGGATCTAGAATTGCATTTAGCAACTAAATATTTGTCGCTTAGACAATTTAAACATAAGTTGTTCGTCTTTACTATTCTATAATGTTCGCTGTGTGAATTTTTACGGAAGGTCGCACAATTATAAAAATTACCGTGTTTTTTATTCTTACATAGAACACAGGCGCTATGAGGCGATGTAGACGCAGCGGTTACGTTCGTTAGAGACCCAGCAGTCCTAGTTGATGAGATCTGTCTGCGATCGACACATTTCTTAACTTCTTGTTTGAAATTCAAGGAGCGCTGTATCACTTTAATTTTATCTCGTACAAAGGACGCTAATGAGTAGAATGACGGCAACTCAGAGCTACGATGCTCCATTTCAAACGCACGCACGGTGTTCGAGTCTAGTTTCTTTAAGGCGATATGGAGAAACACCACGTCCATAAGGTTATTAAATTTCAGGTTCTTGAGTGCAGCCACCGATGCTACAAATTTATCTAAAAACTGCTCTAAGCCAGTGATGTTCGGGCATGATATAGCTTTAAGATCGAATATCTGGTCTAAATATGAAGAGACTAACATTCGCTTATCTTCATATTTGTTTTAAGCGTTTCAAATATTAACGAATAATCGTTTGCTGTTGGTGTGAAACCCGAACAAATGGGCTGTGCCCTACCACTCAATTTACTAATTAAATAATACAATCTTTCAGCGCCCGATAACGATGGATTTTATGTATGGTGTTTTCAAAGCTATTAATAAACAACGGCCAAGTTTTAATATCTCCATTGAATACCGGAATATCTATGGGGAGCAATCTAAGTGATTCACGTGGGCGTACATGGATTTCTGGTTTTGCTTCGCTTTGGGCTGGAGACTGTAAGAGCTTTGCCGTTCTTTTTACGCGACACAACATATCTTCAAATTATAGAAGTGGTTTATAGTTCACTATACACTTAGGGTCGATTTGTAATTCTAAAATATTAATTTTATCTAATATACTTTCGTAATCCAATCGCAAAGAGTCCACCGTTTTGATTTCACATAAAAACGTTTCCCGCACTGAATCTACGTTAATATTTTTTATGTGATCACTTATATTATATTGTATACGTGAAAAGAGTACGTCCCTTTTGGCGTAAAGATTTTTAAGTTTAATTTCGTTTCCACTAACTGCCATCTTAAATCACTATAATTAATATTAGATTAATCACAAAAAATCGTACAACGCTGTAACAATAATATTCTTATATAAATTCAAACTTATAGTCTGATAAACTTGAAAATAAATTGGAATTATTATCAAAAAACTAACGTCAATTAAATTGTATCCATCATCATATGAAACAAAATAAATTTAAAACTTATAAAAATTTTTGTTTTAGGATAAATTCAAATAAAACTTTTTACTTGTTTAAAAGCTTTAAAAATAACTATTCAAATAAACTGTTATATAAGTTTTCATAATACTTTGGAACAATATTCATCATCATCATCATCATCACAGCCCTTCACAAGTCCACTGCTGAACATAGGCCTCCCCCAAGTAATGCCACAAAGCACGGTCCTGAGCCACCTGCATCCATCGACTTCCTGCATATCTTACCAGGTCGTCACTCCATCTAGTGGGGGTCGCCCTACACTACGCCTACCGGTACGAGGCTGCCACTCGAGAACCTTTCTTCCCCATCGGTTATCGGTTCTTCGAGCTATATGGCCGGCCCATTGCCACTTCAGCTTACTAATCCGTAAAAAAATATTTAACTCAAACCAAAAAACAACTACACAAAAAACTTAAAACACTAATGATTAAACACACTAATTCACTTAATTCTTAACCCCTACAAAAAATAAACAAGAATTCTTCGGTGCCATTGGACCGTAACAATATTACTAGTAATTAATTGTTGAATGTCTTGTGTCTTATTGTATGCAATTAGCAATTTAGTGCTATAAGCAGCATTCAAATTAATATCTGTGATATTTTTCTTGCCTGAACGACTATTTTTAATTTTAGCTTCTTTAAATTGTTCAGTTTTATATGTGGTTTTGTACTTATAGGTATCGGAATCTTTAATGAATTTCACTACTTTGATATCCAAAAGTCTGATTGTTTCGCCATCAATATTTTTGATGGTGTTTAGGTTAATATCGTTAGAAAGTATCTTTAAATCATAGAAACTATTGAAGTTCATTTCATTAACAATGAAACAATTACCAGTCTTTTTAGCATTACGAATTAGAGTCACATACTGATCTGGGGTGTAAATTGGTTCCAGATTTTTTTGCTCGACGAATATTTTTCTCTATTATCGAGTGGACAGCATCCGCTTCATTTTGAGTGTGCCCACGAGTCAGGTACTTGTGTATTATAGATCTAATTGGCAAGGTAGAAACGGCAAATAGTACAAACTTAGAATGAATTTGTTTTTTTGTTGACCACAACAGTTATCGGAGAAAAAAAATTATATCTATATCTGGTTTAGTCGAAGAACATTCTTTTAAAAAATTGTACACACAAGAACCTATTTTATTGTGTCCTCGTTTACCCAGACCCTCGTGCCAAAAGAAACAAAATGTTTTATCATCCTTAATGTTGGTTACTGTAAAGTTATAACAATTTAGTTTACTTTTATAAAAAAAATGCCAATAATTTGCTGGTTCCTTGTTGTTAGATAGACGGTTTTGTTGATAATTACGGTGTAGTTCGGCTACAGTCAAACCTCCATCTATATATTCTCCAGAAGAATTGGCTCTGATGTAGTGACTTTCAATCTTAGGGATCGAATTTATGTGGTCACGTACGGATTGTATTACTTCAGCATCTAGCTTTGACTGCTTTCCGTGTTTGCCGCATTTATCTGTTGGTATTACACTTATGCTTGCAAATTTACTTTCAATTATAGTACGTAGTGGTTTATTACTTATAGCTAATGTATTCACTAGAAACGTTTTACGTTTTTTTTACGTTTTTAAACCCTTATCTCTTTACCTCGATTAATAAGAAAGTAAGTTGTATTTGGTTTTCTACATTTTCTATTCATGTCCCCACGTTTTCGAATCTTGAAAGTACGGATTTCAGGTTCAACTTGCTTTACACTAGAAGCAAGGAAATCACGCTGTCTTTGAAAAGAACCAAGCTCCCAGTACGTCTTAAATATTATATTCCTATCATCTGCAGTAAATTTATTTGAACAAGACAATCGGCAAGTATTTACACAAGGTGGACGAATGTATTTTTGCAGCATGGCTTTACTTCTAGATGATTTGTATGCTTCACCAGTGTTTTGATTTTTTCCATTGACTAGGATTTATGGTCCTTTTTTTAGACTTTGGTACAGTACTAGCCTGTTCAGTACTTCCTTGAATAGTCTCAGAGGCTGCATTATTACGTATAATTGATACTTCAGAAACATTTTCGGAGCAAGATGTAGATCCGGAGTGGCTAGAACTATTGCCAGAGCTGGATGAACTACTACTTGAGCTCGAGGAACTACTGCCAGAGCTAGATGTACTTCGGGCTGAATGTGAAAGTATTTTTCTTGGACGCATTTTTTTTGTTGGTTTATATTCAAATCCATCAGTCGCGGAAAAATCTTCATTATTATCAGGGTCGGTTTCATTCGCATTCGAGAAGGTGTCTTGCATTAGCACCTCTTTTAGTAAAGTGTTTTGTGGCTCTAAATCAATGTTAATCACACTGAAAGAATCCCCATCATTTGAATGATTACATTTTTTACTATCTGTAGTTAAAGCTACATTTTCAATATAATTTCTTGCCACATTACCCGTAACGATATTTTGTAGCACGGAATTAATTTTTACTTCGTCGATTAAAACTGTGTCCGCATTATTGGCATGATTACATTTTTTATAATCGTCAGTATCTGAATGATCCATTTTTCTTCCATCTGAAGTAATGGAGATATTATTTATTGAAGAATGAGAGGTTTCTAAATTGTAGTCATGATCATAGTCCTGATCTTCTCTATGAAAGTTCGCTAACCAGGTTTTAACTAATGCTTTGTTTTTTATGGAATTATTTTGTTGGGTCTTAACCACAGACATAATTTTTTTACCGCGGGAACCCATTGTTCTCTGAAATAAAATTGATTTTATTAAAGATATTTGTAAGTCAGATTTATCTGAAATCGAATCAAAGACCTCTGAAGTGAGAAATAAAAGTATACCACCACTTACAAACGTCGAGAAAAATAAGAAACTAAATAGTTAGTTTCATCACTAATTAAAGTCATCAAACAGTCTCCGTAAAGATAAATTAATAATTTTAGTGGGGTGCCCCAAAGCGTGCTCGTCTTAAAATAATATTTAGGTAATAAAAAGAATTTTTATGTTTGACTCGAGCCAAATCGGTCATGGGATTGCCGAAAACATTTGGAAATAAACAGTTTGTGTTACGGGACAGTATTTATTACAGGATAATAAATTGTTTTATTATCCTGTAATAAATAGTAATACCTACAAAACATTTTTATTGTATACAGATTTATAGTTCCAAATTAATCGTCTAAAGCGTAATATTAATGGATCTAAAAAAAACTATTTTGTTATTAACTTTGTAGTTCCAATTAGTATAGTCAAAAAAAAAATATCATTGGACCTACAAAAACACTTTTTAATTTAGGACTTTTTAGTGCCAATTAGTTTAGTTGAAAATTATAATGTTGGGTCAACAAAAACAATTTTATAATTAATTACTTTGTTGCTCCAATATTTTTGTTTATAACAAGAAATGATTGAACTCTTACAAATAGATGAGTCTTTTTTGCTCCAATAAAACAGAATAAAAACGGTTATAAATACCTACCTGTAGTTCCAAGACACGTCAAACTCTCGCGAGAGCGGGGGCACTACTGACCAATTAGACTTTGTCGGCCCAAAAATCACGGAAAAAACACCAATAACCACAAAGGCACTCGCGCCAGCTAGTAGCATTTTGAGATACTTTCGCGGGTGTCTTTATTTCCCCACACGAAGGCATGGTTTAAAGACATTTTGGCATACTTAACTCAATTTTGGCTACTAATGACTTTGTTGCAACGAAGGGATATATATATATATATATATATATATATATATATATATATATATATATATATATAATCATTGTAGAAGCGTGCTCGTCGCGACCCCTGCCAGCCCTTTTCAGGGCTGCAATTCTACACAGCTGCGCACCCATGCAAAAGAGGGTTAGGGCATCCCCCCCAAGGCGACGCACACCAGCTCGTCCCCGTTGGTGTGGAATGCAGCGCGCAAAGCGGCGATGTGTACCGCCACCCGTCACGCACAGCCCGATACGGCGGAAGGTGGAGGAAGGAGTGCAGAGTTGGCACGCGGAATGTTAGAGGGGGCATGAGAGATAAGACGAATGAGTTGATCGAAATAATGAAAGAAAGAGAATTAGGTGTCGTGTGTATGTCGGAGACCAAACGGAAAGACAGTGGTACTGAAGAGCTCCCTGGCGGGACGTTAGCTATATGGTCCGGAGTCCCGGAAAGCGAGAACTCCTGCCAGGGAGTAGGGATGCTGCTGTCCTCCCGGTTGGTCGATCTTATGACTGAATATAAGGTTGTGAACTCAAGACTTCTCTGGGTTCGCTTTAAACTGGGACTGACGAAGTTATTCCTTTTGGCTGTTTATGCGTTGGTAGCTTCATCGTCCAGGGCTGAGCTGGAGGAGTTTTGGGAGAATGTAAGAGAAGTTCTAGATTTGGTTAAAAGAAACGAAAGAACTGTTGTATGTGGTGATTTGAATGAATGTGTAGGTATCGCTCGACCAGGATACGACTCGGTGCTTGAAAAGTTTGCCGATAAAAGGGTTAATGATGCTGGCAAGCTTATACTGGCTGAATGCAAGGAAAAGGGTCTTCTTGTGACAAACACTATGTTTAATCACAGGAAAAATCCATATGTACACTAGAGAAAGAAATAATGAGAGAAGTATGATTAATTTGTTCCTGGTGGATGACCGACTGCGAAAACACCGGTCGAGCCAATATTTCTCAGGAAAACGTCTCCGAGTTCCGGAATAAACTTGTGTCTGAAGTCGAGTCTTTGCTGAACAGAGTCTCGGATTGGGGGCGACTAAATCTCATTCAGTCAGTCAATCAGTTTAACCCCAGAAGACACAAGTTTGCGCGTTAACCGCTAAAAAGAACCCCTTTGTCGTATCCCCTCAGATTCAAGGCATTCCAGTATTGGAATCCTCGACGTCGACGATGGAAGGCCAAATTGGCATCTAAAAAGCTTGGCGTGCTCAGCAGAGCGGGACAGTATTTCATGCCAGCACACCGCCTGCAACTTTACAAGGCGCAGGTTCGGCCGCACATGGAATACTGTTCCCATCTTTGGCCTGGGGCTCCCCAGTACCAGCTCCTTCCACTTGACCGCATCCAGCGCAGAGCGGCTCGAATCGTTGACGACCGAGTGCTTTACGATCGGCTCGGTTCACTGGCATTGCGAAGAGATGTTGCATCTCTTTGCATTTTCTTTCGCATATACCATGGAGAGTGCTCTGAGGAATTGTTCGGATTAATCCCAGCTGCCAAATTTCATGAACGCACTACGCGGCAAACGTCCCGATACCATCCACACCATCTGAATGCTTGACGGTCCACCACTGTACGTTTCAAAAGGAGTTTTCTTCCGCGTACAACCTTTCTGTGGAATAGTTTACCACCGGCGATTTTTCCGGACCGATACGACCTGGGGACCTTCAAGAAAAGAGCTTACTCCTTTCTAAAGGGCCGGCAACGCACCTGCAATTCCCCTGGTGTTGCGGTTGATCATGGGCGGCATCAGGTGAGCCGCATGCTCGTTTGCCCCCTCTTCTATAAAAAAAAACAGGTGATGGATACACGAGTGTTCAGGGGTGCTAACCTGGGAACGGATCACTATCTAGTAATTATTAGATTTAGGGGTTTGTTCGCGGGTTGGCGCTACCGGACGGCAGTAACAGAACCACAGTCGGTCTATCGCATCCGAAGCTGGAAGCTTCAGGAAGCGGATTCTAAGGACAAACATCACACGAGAGTAGCCGAAAAGCTTGACACCATCGATGGCAGGAAAGAATGTGTGGAGAGAACATGGCAGAACCTTAGGGATGAAATGGTAAGTGCAGCGGAAGAAGTATGTGGAACGACAAAAAGAGGTAGTAGTAAAAGAAGAGATGCACGGTGGAATGATGAAGTGAGAGAAGCTGTAAAAAAGACGAAAAAAGCCGGATTGAAAGATGACCTTATCACAAAAATTGATAGGGGCGTACTCCGATGGTTTAGGCACGTTGAGTGAATGAGTGAAGACCGAATGGTGAAGAAAATATATAGCGCGAAAGTAAATATTAAAAGGTGTCTAGGTAGACCGAGACTAACTTTCGAATACCATGTGAGCAAATTACTCGAAGTGGGGAAGGTTAAGAGTACTCGGATACCTAGACGTGCATGTATGAAGAAGTTAATGAACATGAAAGAAGCGAAAGAGGTATGTAAGGATCGTGACACTTGGCGATCTGTTCTCTCTGGCTACCCCGTTAGGGATTGTGCGTGAAGATAAGTAAGTAAGTAAGATGTACATAAACGAGTCTCAGGGATCAATAACCTATCCACAGCGCTGCTCTTGTGCAAAAAGAGGCCTCTACAAATCATCAAAGCTTCCCATATAATGCTACTCTTCACCACCGAATAACCGGTAAACTTGCACCAAAAGTTTTGCTTAACTATTTCAATGGTGCCATTAACAACTCAAAATAATAATGATTTCTTATATTTACGCGAACACTATACATGATTAAAACTACTTTTACGGATTTTATCGCGTTTATTTTTACTTTTTATTTACTTTTATTTTTAATTCCCGACGTTTCGGGCGCTTTCCAGCACCCATGGTCACGGGGTGCTGGAAACCGCCCGAAACGTTGGGAATTAAAAATAGAAGTAAATAAAAAGTAAAAATAAACGCGATAAAATCCGTAAAAGTAGTTTTAATCATGTATAGTGTTCGCGTAAATATAAGAAATCATTATGTAAACCAGTACGGACTGGAAGTAGCAAATAAAACTCAAAATAATTTTAATATTATCCAAAAAGAGGAGAAAGTCTCATCAACGGTGAACCAATTTTCAAGAATATTTTTTAACTAGATAAGCTGGTTGAGCCACAGACTCTCCTCTCGAATCCCGCTCGATGTAATCAGAAAAATGTTGGGGAAATTGCCTGATTCTACGTCGGCTCGTATGAACCAGAAGAATGGTGGGGCCAATGACCATAAATGTTTTCGGCGATTGGGGTGTCGGGCTCGATTCACAGCTTGGGCCTTTTTTTTATAGGACAGGGTAACAAACGAGCACACAGTCCACCTAGTGGTAAGTGGTTGCTGTGGCCCATAGACATCTACATCTATCTTCGGTCACGAATCAAAATGCAGATGCGTTGTCACCCGTGAGGACTAAGATGGAATGCCTCATTTCCAGTAAAAAGGGTCTCCGGTTCTCTGCACTCACCATACGAGACACAGCAGCATTAAGCCGTTATTTCACGATGGTATTCTGTGAGAGCGTGGTCCTTCCCCGGTCAAGCCGACCCATTCGTGCTACAACTATACTACTAATATAACTACAGCATGGCTCTACCACGTACAAAACTTAAGGTTCTTGACCTTATTATGCAGAATGTTACTATGTGGACTGTATGTGTGGATTCTTACAACCAAAACAAGATGGCCGTCGTGGCACGTGGCAGCTTTGGAGAATGCACTCACTATTCTAAAATCTACTGTTTTGCCAGTGTTTCGAAGGAGTTTCCACTTGAACCGCTAAGGGAGAGAAATGCGACAAGGAAATAAAATGGTTCAAGACAAATTAAAAGCAAGCACTTACAGGACTGGGGTTCATTGCAGCCTCGTGGACGACGCACCTGGTCCTGTGGTGCGTTGGAAGAGGCGGTGCGCGACGATAGATTGCACCACGTGACGTTATTACTTCTAGCGATTCTGTGGCCGACTGCCATAGAGGTCCAAAAACAACTAGCGGTTTTCTTCGACTGCGATACAAGAAGGAATGAGCAGCGGCAGTGCTTG